TTAAAATGTGTAAAGCACACACACACACAGATATATATATATATATATATATATATATATATATATATTAGTAATTACTTTAAAAAAATAATAAAGAATAAAAAATTATCTAGCATTGGAAAAGATATTGTTGAAATAACATTCAAAAAAGATCAAAATCCTCCTCTATGAAATAACTAAAAACAAAACCATAGATACAATTTAACTAACTAATTCTTTTTTAAAAAAAGACACAATAAAAAATACACTGAATTCATATTATCCCTTTTCCTCCCTCAATAATAGCACTCAATTATTTTCCCCCATTTAAGCTCTCTAAGGTCCTTTTTTTTTTGATAAATGATTCTGCCAAAACAATTCTTACCAAAATACCCATATTGATTTAAACAACTTAAAATTTATAACTTCTTAATGAATACTATGTATTGACCAGACTTCTTCTTTTTTCACAAAGAATGAAACGAGGAAAATTAATTTTTATTCTGTAAATTATTTCCCACCTGTCTCATCTTGGCACATGCATGAAGTTGAACACAACTTTTCAGATTTTTTATAAATTTTCAGAGTTAATTTCTGAAATCCCCAAACTGATTCTTTTCATATTACTAATATGATAAATTCACAAAAAGAATCATAATTTATAACCTATTTTTCTAAATTATTTTTATCATTTAAAACACAATCCGAGAGCAAAGAACTGATCTCCTTCAAAGATCCACATGATTGTTATTTACATTCTAACGATAATTATTTACGCTTCTATAATTTTATTGTCGGTCTAAAAACAATTTGAAAATACAATTATTTAAGTCAAAATTACAACGAGGAAAAAAATATTGTTGACATTATCGAAGCAAATTGGGCATGTCCTATTATTTTCTTAATTAGCATAATAAGTTTGGATATGAAGAATATTTTTACAAGAGAAGAAAAAGCTCAAAAGGAAGTGATAATAAAAGATGGAGAGGGAAGAAGATTTTTTGGATTAGCATCAAATAACTAAGTAAAGAGGAAAATATGGCGATTAGATTAATGTGGGCATTTTGGGCAATGAAGAATGTTTTTGTTGTGGATGCTATTTTTTGTTTGAGTATCATCACCTTTTTTTTTTTTTTTGACAATCTTATGAAAAAGTTCCTCTTATCTCTCTTGGGATCGAACACCTTGCGATTGGTGGTATCAGATAATGTAGAATGAAAATTTCTTACCAGTTCAATCCACCCAAGTAGTTGTGAGCTATCTCAATAATCACGATGGGATCAAGATGAGGTTTAGAAAAATTGATAAGAAAATTACTTAATCATATGTTTTTCTTCTTTTTTTTTTTCCATTCCCCTCTTTTTCTTGGCGAATGGAACCAGAGAGTTGAATTTTCCAATTAAATCAATATTTTTCTTTGCCCCATTTATTTGAACTCATTCCTTATTAAATTAAATTTGTTTGATAATCATGGAATAATTAAAATATATTCACAATGATTCATTTTATAACAGTGTCATTCACAACACCAGTCCGGCGCCATATTTCTGGAAATTTGATGATTTGGTTTCTACAAAATCCCCATGAGTCGGAGTTGGTATTGTTATGGTCTTAGAGGAAAAAAAAAATGATATAGTCATTCACTCATTTTTTTTAATGTCCATTTATCTAACCTTTGCGTGGAATTGAGACTGTAGAAAGTAAAAGAGGTAAAGGAAGTGAAGAAATAAATGTCCAAAAATCTGTATGAACGGACTGATAAGGGTAGTTAAGGAATTAGAGCTTTTCTTTTTCTTTTTTTTTTTGGTTTTGATTTGGAAATATCATGTGAGAATGTATACAATTTACGTATAAACATAAAAGTCGAGAATTAAAATAAACCATACAACGCACGGGCTAAAATCTAGTTAGTGTAACAACCGATTAATAAAGAAACTGTACTGCTGTTGCGGCAAAACACAGACCCCGATCAAAAATCCCAAAAAGAGGAACCCTAGGCTTTCCAATAACTCTAAACCCTAGACAAATTTCGTGTTCTCTCTTCTGAAGATGAAACCACCGACAAGGGTTGATATCACAGAGCCGGTCGAAGGCAAAGTAAATGACGCCGACGGAAGGGTAGAAATCGACAATCAGGAGGGTTATATGCCGGATTGGTTTTTGTTTGAATTGCTAAGTAGACTTCCCAGCAAGATTGTTTCTAGATGTAAGTGTGTTTCGAAACGTTGGCTTTCGTTTATCTCTGATCCTTCCTTTTGCCGTTTGTATGTCTCCCGACAAGAACCAGATCAACAACGTTCGCCCTTCGTGTTTTTTGCCTCACAAGTTCGATTCGTTAATGAAGAAGATGGAGGGGATCCGAATAAGCATCTAACCCAAATCTCATGATAGAAAATTGCAGAGTTTCGGAGACTAACTTTACCATCGTTGGGAGGAAGATATGTACACAGGATATTCCATATTAAAGCAGCAGACAAAGGTTTTCTTTTGCTGGAAAGGGCAGCCTTTTCACCTCAAAATAAAATTTCTATTATTTACTATTGTGTCTGTAATGGCATGACGAAGCAATGGTTCTCTCCCCCAGAGCATCATTCTCGTACCTTCCCAGCTAATTTGGGTTTAATTGTAAAGTTTGAAGATGGAATTTTAACTAGTTATAGAGTGGTGACAATCTGTGATCAATGTCGGGATCCACGGTAGCCAGGAAAAAATTCCAAAATTTTCCGAATGTTTTCTTCAGAAACAGGAATAAGGGAAGATTTGAAAGTGCGCTGTGAACAAGCGTCCAAAGGAATTGTTAGGGACGCATCTAATTAAATGGATGAATCGGTCCGGAATTGTTGTGAGCACCACAGTTTATTGGATGCATGCTGATGTAGGAATTTTAACCTATGATCCTAATACCAATCCTACTAAGTTGGAGTATATTGCACCGCCGGCGGGTGGTGCTTTTAATGAAGTGTTCTATCGTTATCAAAGACAGTGTCTTAATTTCATTGAACGAGTTTCTGATGGCCATATTGGAATGATCTTTGGTGAAAGTAAAACTCTTGGTTGGAGTATCTTGGAACTCCAAGACAACCACGAATGGCGGCTTTGGCGTAAAATAAAGATTTCGGATATCATCTTCCCAAACAATCCTCTCCAGGACCATAATTTTCTCCAATAAATGCTATGTTTTTCATCCCATCCATTTGATACAGAGGTAGTGATTTTGTATTGTTCAACGAGCCAAATTTATTTTGCATACAACATGAAAACTAGGAGGCTGGAATCAATCCTTAAACGGACGGTGTTGGGTTTCTTTCACGTCTTTCCGTTTTAGCCAGTCTCTATTCCATTTTACCTTATGTTTGGAAGATGATGGATGGTTGTTTATGCTGCGATTTCTGTTGGAAAAGAGTAGAGTGAATGAGAATTAAGTTTCTCAAGAGTTGAAAAAATTAGAGTTAATGCTAAGGGACTTTGTCCCACATGGGTGTTGGGAAGAGTTGGAGCTCACTTTATAAGTGAGAGCTCAAAATTGACTTGCAAGTTGACTTGCCAATACTATACCACATCTCTTCCGCTCGCGTGCGCCCGCACAGGGGGGGGTGCAAATGGAGGTCCGATTCGGGGCCAAAATAGCCTGACTCATGTGTGCGCACGAATGCCGGACCGAGCTCTAGCGGGCCTGATCAACCCACATTTTGCTACGGTTCAGATTAATTTTTTTTTTTTCCAGCTAAAATTTTAATGTGGAGATTTATGTTCATTCATTTCAGTCAAAGAAAAAAACTGAAACATTGTTGTTGAATGAGCAAATGAATGGCGGATTTAATACTGTTTAAATGGCAGAATGAATTCTTTTGACTGTTTGATTGTCAAAAACGTTTTGGCTGTTTATGTGCCATGAATTCGTGACATTTAACAGAATTAAAACACCAAAACCGTTTGAAGTTTTGCTACCATTTCAAAGGTTTCTCCAGCCTATAAATAGGCACTCATTTTCCAAAGTTCACCACACCAATCCTTCCTCCTCTATCAGTATTCTTTCAAGCCTTTCTTTCCTTCTCTTTCAGTTTTTGGTGTTCATCATCGTGTTCTAAGTTTCGTTCGCTGGTAGAACTTCTTTGTGCTAAGTAGTTTCTACGTTTCCGTTGTATCCTGGGAAACAGTTGCTCGAGATCCTCAAGCACTATAGGAGGGGGTAAATCTGTTTTATGGAGATCGTGTTTTCACGAGCCTCGGATTTCTTCTTCTTTCGTTTTTCTTAGCCTTTGCGAATACTACCCATATTTTCACCAACAATTTCTTCACTCGTTTCCTGTTAAAGTGGCATTGATGTGTCTGATATTCACAAATCACGATGAAGGAACGAATAATTGCTCTTTATTTCTTGAAATCATCTGCTGATCTTAATTGACATTAGAAAGGTAATTTGCATTTGAATGAAAATGAGGTTCAGGATCTACACAATTTAGCTTATGCAAAAATGCGGTGTACTAGTTTAGGCATCCCTTAATTAATCCAGGTACCAATTCAAAAAAAAAAAAGAAAAAAAAACATGTGTTTCAGTTTTATTTACTTTTTGAATTTTAATTTTATCCTAAATTATTTGCCAAATCCTTTTAAATTTTTTGTCCGGTTAGGGGTTCCACTATCGCGGCAGTGGTAGATCATGATAATATAGGAGTATCAACCCCATAATATAATAATTTAGTTTTGTGAGGCATTGGTTTCTTTCCCACAGAGCCACCAACATGCGTGAGAGAAAAAATATGTGTGACGGAGAGTTTATACTTAATTCAGGTGACATGGAAATTGAATGGTTGGTTGTTGCGTGTGATATAAACCTTTTTATAAACCAGTCCAGCAACCATGGGGTGGACTAACATGATTTATCTGCTATGGAAGATTTGATGGATTACACTCCCTCTGTCTCATAATGATTATTCAGTTTCAATTAAAATTTTTAAAATAAATAAAAATAAATATAAGTTGTAAAAAATTGAATCCTAAACCTTTTTCTCTCTGTCACTATGGGCGAAAACACGCCCACTGCGTGTAATCGTCCAAATCTCCTACGAAAGTCTGCAATGGCGAGGAAATCAAAGAAGAGAGGGGAGGTTAAGGAGAGTGATAACAAGCAACCATCGGAAACAGAACATCCAGCTCAGCTCAAGCTCAGGTAAACCTTCTAATTCGAACTTGATTTTTGAAGATCTGTGTAAACGAAAGGTGATTGAGGTGGGTGAGAGCTCCGATGCTCAGAATCAAGCAAGATCTGATAAGCCTGAGGCCGGTAAGGTAGCTGGGGATAAAGATGTTTGGCAGGGATTTGATCCAAAAGTCTTAGTTCAGAATAAGAAGAAACTGAGCTTTATTGAACCAAAAGTTGTGAATGATAGACTTATCACGAATATAACACAAGATGAGATCCAGAGTGAGATTGAATACTGGAAGTCATCCATAATCTGTTATGTATTGGGAGCTAAGTTACCATTCCTAGTCATGAATGGTTTCATTAGAAGGTATTGGAGTAAAAGGAATGTAGATAAGGTTCTGCTACTGGATAATAGGGTGTTTGTGATCCGTTTTAGATCTGTGAATGATAAGGAGGAAGTGCTAAAACAGAACATTCACCAGTTTGATAACCGTCCATTGATATTGAAGGATTGGGATGTACAAGCTGGAATTAATGTGGAAGAACTAAGATCGATCCCTGTGTGGATACAACTACCTGGTTTAAAGCTTAAATACTGGAATGCCACCTCTCTCAATAAGCTCACCACCATGATTGGTAAGCCAATGGAAATGGATGACATGACAGAAAATAAGCTTAGAGTAGCATATGCAAGAGTTCTAGTGGAGGTTGAATTCAAGGAAATGCTTAAAGAGGAGGTATGGTTTGAAGATGAAGCAGGTGTGGTGCAAGAACAGAAGGTGATATATGAGTGGAAACCACTGAAATTTAACAACTGTAATGGATATGGTCATAATCTGAAACAATGCAGGAAGCCAGTTGAGAAGAAGTGGACTCTCAAAACAGAAGGGAAACAGAAGGAAGTCCAGGAATCAACACAAGCTATGGTGGTGGAAAGTCCAAAACAACAGTCTCCAAAATTCGGCACTGTACCATTAAGGAAGGAGAGTACTACTGAGTTTGGAGAAGGAAGCATTCAGATACTAAATCATAAAGGCATTAAGATACCTGACAGTAGAGGAGATATTAAGAATAGATCCATTAATAGTATTTATTATCAAAGAACTAGTCACCCTGATCCAGGGCCTAGTACTTATGAATAACATACTATCATGGAACATAAGAGGACTAAACAGTCCTCTGAAACACAGAGAGGTAGATCAATGCCTTTCTGTGAATAAGGTTGGTATTATGGGGTTGCTGGAAACAAAATTGCAAGGTGAAAAGGTGATGGAGCTCATGGGAAAGAGATACTATAACTATTGTCATATAAGTAATCATGATAACCAAAATAAAGGGAGAATACTGTTAATTTGGAGGAAAGATGATTATGCGGTAAAGAAGATTATAGTGGATATTCAGTTTATACATTGTCATATTAATGAATTGGAGTGTAAAAAGCAGTTTTACTTCACTTTGGTATATGCTGATTTTTTAGCTCAAGGGAGAAGTATACTATGGGAGAGGCTGAAAGTTCTTTCACAAGGAATTAATGAAGCTTGGCTGATGTTAGGGGATTTTAACTGTGTTATGCAACAAGAGAGAGATTGGGTGGCAGAGAAGAGATGAATTCTGACTCTGGGAAATTTAAACAGCTGATTGAGAAATGTGAGCTATGGGAGATGTCAGTGCAAGGAGGGTTCTTCACATGGAGCAATAAGCAATCTGGGAATGTGAGAATATTGTCTAAACTGGATAGAAGCATTTCCTGAGGCTTACACCACAGTTTTGAATGCAGGGATTTCAGATCATCATCCTCTTTTAGTAAAATGGGGAGAGGAATATGTTGGTAAGAAGAAATCCTTCAGGTTCTTTAATATGTGGTTGCAAGGCCATAGTGGAAGACTGCTGGAAAAAGAAGGTGAAGGGGACATGCCAGTATAGAATGATTAAAAAGCAGTAATGGTTGAAGAAGCCACTAAGAGAGTTGAATAAAAGGAAATTCTCAAACATTGAAGAGGCAGAATTAAAATGGAGGAAAAAACTGGATGATGTTCAGGAAGCTTTGAAGGTTGATCCACTTAATACACAACTTCAACAAGAGGAAAGGGAAGCAATAAAGGAGTGTGGTCTAGCAGGGAAAGCAGTGATTAGTTTCTATAACCAAAAACTGAAGGAGAAATGGATACAGGAAGGTGACCTGAATACTAAATATTTTCATGCCAGTTTAAAGAAGAAGACATCCAGGAGCAAAATACGAGCCAACACAGATGATCAAGGAACTCTGATTGAAGATGCAAAGTTGGTGGAAATGCATTTCCTAGAGTATTTTCAGTCACTCCTTGGAACAAATGTGACCAGAACATCAATCCAAAGTAGCTTTATCAGCTCAGGGATCAAATTGTCTGTTGAACAGCAAATTTTCCTGACTGAGGAGTTCACTAAGGCTGATGTTAGAGAAGCAATGTTCAGTATAGATGTTACTAAGAGCTCAGGCCCTGATGGATTCAATAGTGGATTCTACAAAGCTATGTGGTCCATTGTAGAAGAAGATGTATGTGAGGCTGTTATGGAATTCTTTAAAACAGGTAAAATGCTGAAACAGTTGAATGCAACTTTGATTGCTTTGATTCCTAAAGTAGAAGTGCCTAAAGATGCTACTGAATACCGCCTATTGCTTGCTGTAACACTGTGTATAAATGCATAACTAAAATGATATGCAAAAGGCTGAATAGTGTTCTGGATGGATTGACTGATATACACTAAGGAGCTTTTGTGAAAGATAGATCTATTCTACAAAATATTCTACTGACACATGAATTGATAAGAATGTATAACAGGAAAAATGTAATGCCAAGCTGCCTGATGAAGGTGGATCTCAGGAAGGCCTATGATTCTATACACTGGTGTTTCATAGAGGAGATGCTGCAGGAATATGGGTTTCCACCAAGGATGATAGGTTGGATCATGGAGTGTATCAGAACAACAACATTCTCACTGAACATTAATGGATGGAGTACTGGTTTTTTCCAAGGAGGAAGAGGTTTGAGACAAGGTGATCCGATGTCACCCCTCCTCTAATGGTGATGGAGTATCTAACCAGAATGTTTCAATCAGAAGTAAGTAAAGAAGGTTTCCAGTTCCATCCTTATTGTGATAAACTGAAAATAACCTCTCTGAGTTTTGCAGATGATCTTATCATTCTGTGTGGAGCTGATATTCACACTGTGACAAGAGTGAAGAAGATAATGGAGAATTTTGAAGCTACAACTGGACTGAGTCAATTTCAACAAATCTAATGTCTATGTGGCAGGAGTTTCTGAAACTACAGCTAATCAAATCCAATCTATTCTGGGATTTGAGAAAGGCAGTTTTCCTATGAAATACCTGGGGATGCCAATCTCACCTACTGCATGGAGCAAAATAGAATGTCAAAGCATGGTGGATAAAGTGACGGCAAGGATCAAATGTTGGACCTCTAAGCATCTGTCCTATGCAGGTAGGTCACTACTTATTAATGCTGTATTGTTGAATTTAAATTCCTATTGGGCTAGCATCTTTCTTATCCCACAAAATGTGATCCAAGACATAGCCAAAGTTTGTAGGCAGTTTCTTTGGGGAAGTAAGGAAGATGGAAGGAAGCTGTCTCTTGTAGCATGGAATGATGTGTGTCAGAAGAAATCAGAAGGAGGCCTGAATATTAAGGAGCCTAGTTTGTGGAATAAAGCCATGATCACTAAGCAGTTGTGGGATTTGAGTAACAAGAAGGAAAGTTTGTGGGTCAAATGAATACATATGTACTATATAAAAGCAGATCAGTATGGGATTGTAGAGCTCCAAATGACAGCAGTTGGCATTGGAAGAAACTAATGAAAATCAAAGAGGTTATGAAAGCAGGGTTCAGCAATGGTAAATGGTTGGGAAATGGTGGTAAGCAGTATATAGCAAGTAGTGGATACACATGGCTGAGAGGTGAACACAGAAAGGATCATGCTGCAAAGGTAGTATGGTGTTGTTACTCAGTCCCAAAACACAGCTTTATAAGCTGGTTTGCTTCCAAACAAAGACTGAACACTGGGGAGAGGTTGCAGCAACTGAATATTGTTGCTGATACTATAAGATGTGTTTTATGTGAAGCAGAACCTGAAACTGCTAGACACTTATTCTTTCAGTGTGTGTTCTCTAAAAGATTGCTGGAAATGGTGAAAGTTTGGCTGGGAATCAATACCATCCCCAACCAGTTGAATGTCCAGGAAATTCTGCAATTATGGAGGCACAGGAAGCTGCAACAGAAGGAAAGGAATGCCACAGTTTATCAGGTTTGGATGGAAAGGAATTACAGGAAATTTAGAAACATAAAAAAGTGAGGTAGAATGCTGTTTTAACAAAATTCAGCAAGAGATTAGATATAGAATACAATTTTGTTTGAAGTTGAAAAAATTAAAAAATAGTGAGCAGCAGTTTATGAGGAGATTAGGGATGTGTTTTTGACAGGGGATGTAATTATAAATTGTACAGGAAGTTTGTGATGTGATCAATGAAATTTACACTTTAACAAAAAAATAAAAATAAAAATAGAAATCTAAACTGGACAATAATTACGAGACTAAGAGAGTATTTATGAATGTGGTATCTTAATCCTAAAAATCAATTTCGTCCCTTGTCCTAGCAAAGATTATAAAAATCTATAGTTCCGACTTATTTGCCGTTACCAGTGGGAATGCTGTGGAATATTTGTTGTTTTAACTATCAACTTGAAGCATTTTAAGTTACTAATTTTTTTTATAGTCGTGCGTTGTACGACGAGTCTACTACACAAATAAATTTTTAAATATTTATAACGATTTTTTCTTCAATGTGTTACAGAAATTAATAAAATTATTTCTGTCTGTCATGATAAATTATTACTTCCGACACCAACTAGGTCCATTGGGCTCAAATTTTGACGCCTATTGGGTGGGCATACGTTTCTCAAAATCAACATGAAAACTCTAAAAACCCAAGCCACCCAACACCGCCAGTCCGCCACCACTACAATCGAAATTCTCCGAACAAAAATTTTCATGAATCTACTCCACTGATTTGTTATTATTCTTTTTGGAGTGCAGAAATTGTAGTTATGAGAACTGCCCTACCGCCCCAAAAACGGAAATTTTCGAATCCGTCATCACTGAAACCATCCAAAAAATCCTTCAAAAAGTCTAAACCTAATAGTAACTATAACCGCCGTGGCGGCAGCGGAATAAGCAACAAAGGAAGCATCCCCGGCGACCCCAAAGATACTGGGATGAGTTTTATGCCGGGGATTGCTGGTTTTAGCGTCGCCCTTGATAAACTAGAATCTAGGGGCTTATCAATAACTCCACTGGAAGTTCCCTTGGAGGATACGGATAACGTAGCTATTCAAGATGTAATACACCATAATATGCTGAAAATGCCATCAATGAAAAGAGCCGAAAACATGCGGAGAAAGAAGAAAGCAAAACGAGAGATGGAAAAGGAAATTAATGCTGCGGAGGACAGATTGCAGCTGATGAATTTGAGAAGCTTATTAGGGGTTCCCCTGATTGCAGCTTCGCATGGATAAATTACATGGCATTTTTCGTGTCTTTGGCTGATGTCGAAAAGGCTCGTTCTGTAGCTGAGAGCTAAAAATTTGAATAGTATTTTGATTTTTTGTTTTTGCTTGAACCTATATCGTTTGGTAATTATGCACAAAATTTGTTTTGAAGAATCAGATTGAGATTATCTAACAGAGTTTCCACTTTATGCTTTTTTGTTTAACTCGAAATCATGTGGGTTGAGTTGAGGAACTTAAACCACAAGAATTGGTCAGTGTTATAACCTTGTAATTTGATGTTGGTTTCCTTTTTAAGGGCTCTGAGGACTATTAACATTCGAGAGGAAAGTGAGAAGCTGAATGTATGGATTGCATATTTAAATTTGGAGAATACATTTGGAAATCCTCCTGAGGTAATTTTATCACAAATACTACTGCTTTTGATACTTAAAGTTTGACTTTGGGCTTAAAATTTTTAATTCAGATAATCAAACTGATTTGTCTTTCCTCGTTTGATCCTTTTCTTTCTTAACACAATTTTTAGGAAGCTGGTGTGAAATTATTTCAGAGAGCTTGCAGTACTGTGATCCTAAAACATTGCGCCTCAAATTACTGGTAGCGCACGAAAAGAACGCACGACTCGAGTTAGTTGATGACCTTCTTGGCAAAATGATTAAAAAATTCAAGCATTCATCTAAAGTATGCATACAACACTGACATCCTTCTGTTAGATATTCATCTATTTTACTATGGATATCCTAGTTTTCTAATGAATTTTCGGAATGCTTTTGGTACAGGTTTGGCTGAGCCAGGTTAAAAGAGTCTTGCAGCAGAACGCTGATGAATTAGACAAGAATGTAGCTAGAGCTCTTGTGTGTCTACCTCAGCATATGCAAATAAAATTTATCTCACAGGCTGCTATTCTTGCTTTCAAGTCCGGGCTCCCAGATAAAGGACGATCATTATTTGAGCGTTTGTTGTGAGAATATACGACAAGGACTGACTTTCGGAGGATGTATATCGATCAAGTAATATTCCCAACTACTTGATCCTTTTTATTAACACGCCACCAATATATATTTTTCTTCTTTTTATTTTGACTAGAATTAGAGATACATAGCTGATCCTATGAAATTTATTTCTAGTCTGACATCCTGACTGAAAATTGTTAATCAAAACAGGATATCAAACTAGGGGACATCGAAGTTATTCGTTCATTGTTTGAAAAGGTGACTAGCTTAAGCCTGAAATCGAGAAGTATTAAGGTACTGCTAATCCCATTCGTTGATTGCAACTGCTTTTCTCCATTTATACTATGTACGAGTTTCATGAATAACGGTTGATTTCGGTTGATGGACCATTTTATGATTTAGTTGTTGATTTCGATGATTGCAGTCCTTATTTACAAAGTACGTGGAATTTGAAACACCCTTTGGTGGTGAAAGAATTATGTATGTAAAGGATAAAGCTATGGAGTATGCTAAAGTCCTCCAAACTTGATGGTACATTTTTCGATCCTTGTTTGTTCAAGTGATGGTCAGGAAGAGCAGTTCACAGTCCATGACGAGAATCGTGCTGGAAGCTCTTAATTAACTGTCGGCAACTTGTTGTGTCAGATTTTCATTTTCAGATCTGTCAGAACTCAAATCACTTTAGTCTCGGCTTTTATTTTATTAAAAAATTGTAGATGCCAACTCTTTGTTTGGGATTTCTGGTCTTAGATGTAAATTCTCTAGTCTATCTGCATTCTTATCGAGTAATATTGCTGATTTGTGTACTTCACTTGAGTTTTGTTATTTTATACTGAGACGACTAACTTTAGTTTATGGTTGAAATGTTGGGTTAAGGATTGTCTAATATAGTACTTGATATCTTGTCTTTGTGGTTAGTTGAACCACTACAATGATGGATCTCGTAATCCTTGCAAAGCCGTTGGGCGATTATATATGCAAGTTCCACCAGTATTGAAATGGTGGGGTTTTCATTTCTTCAATGGAAAATTTGCCGCTGGATTTGCATTCAGATGATTTGTGTTGTGATGCTCTAGAACTGATATATCATGGCTATGATCAGATTGGAAACTACTGCTTTAAATCTAAACCTATATAGGTTATTATTTATTAATTGCATCTGATTTGAAGTAAGGAGAACATGATATATGATATACCGTATCATATTTATTTTTCAGAAGTACTTTGTACAGCTCTTTGTTAACAACAGTTTGGCAATACTTGGAATTAATTCAAGAAAGAGATATCATACATTAAAGAAAGGAATAGAAACTTCTATGTTAATGCACTCTGCTAAAGATGATAGAGCACATGTACAATACAAGTGTAATTGGTGTGTTATGAAAACATATGCAACACTTGGGAGTAAAACCAAGCACTTATTCAAACAAACCTAGCAATTTAATAGCTTTGGACTAATCTATTAGATTTTTCCAAATCTTGTAAATAAAACGTATTTTTTTTCCCTCTAAAACTATCTAATTTATAAAAACTTTATAACAAAGCCAACTTAATTTTCATGAAAACCATAATTTTTTTGACAGAAATTGTTATTGGTGTTAGATTGTTGTCTCGAGCATTGGCTTCATTTGTTGGCATCATATCCCTTATGCGGCTATGCTTGTGTGCCGACCTCATTAAAATTGCACGCCATTTACATTGATATAATAGCTAGTACTGTTGTTTGACAAATACATGTGCGCCGGATACAAAGTTCTCTAAGAGTAATTCTCCCTGGGCGTTATTTCTTACTTTTAGAAAAGAAAAACACATTCAATTCTAATCATATTTAGTGTAGTTCACTCACACATTTATCTTACTATAATATTATATCTCTACTAGTCACATTTCTTTTGTTCATTCTTATATTTATTAGCTTAACACTCTAATTCGTTAAGTATCACTGGTAAAACTTTAACATGACTTACCTTTCAACCCTCATGTTCCTTGACATCACAAAGCATCAATGACATGCTCTGCCATTTGTTTCAACCCGTTGGAATTTAGTATATTACATATTTATCGATATTCATCTCTAAGGTGAGTTTTATCAAACTTGTGTGCCTTTATTCTTCTCCGGAATATTGAATTTTGATTTTCTGGTGTCTGTCGGCAGTGGCTGGTTCTAAATAGCTCTGTTATTAGAGTTTTCATGTGGATTTTTGAAGGGTAGTGAAAAGTTTGGATTAGTTCTTTATAATTTTTGTTTACTGTAAGGGGTTTTCCTTCATTTAAGAATTTACCTAAGATGGTTGGATTTATGTTGGAACCGAAAGCAGGCTGCCTTTGCTACCTTTTGAGTTGGATTAGTCATGATAATTCAACCGTGTTTATTATTCTACCTTCAATTATGTATATCTCGTACGTTAGAGCACTTGATGCTAATCTAGCTGCTGGTGTTAGATCTTGAAACATGGTTACTACCATTTTCTCTCCTTATGTATTTTTCTTCTTTTATTTTCAGTGAAGACAAACAACTGTCAGCGTGGAGGCTATGCTTGATGTTCTGCAACACTCGAAGGAGGGCAAGCTACGAGGTTGATGCTGGTGTTTTCAGTTTTGAATGCATTCTATTTGTCTGTCTTTAAAAGTTTCTCATTTTAATTTAAATATTAAATTTATGAAATCTATCTGGTTTTACGTTTGAAATTTACATCCTTCAGACTTGCTAAATGATTGCAAAAATCTATCCACAGTCATTGTAAAAATCCTCTTAATACCCAAGGAAGCAAACATTTCTCCCTCATTTTTCCAATTGTCTTATCCGTATGAGTTGTAATAACTTTAAAATATAAAATACTTCTTTGCAACTTCTAATTTTCATCAATTAAATGTGCCATTAAAATCGTAAATTTCATGTTTTGTCATAAAATCCATGCATCAATGGTAAGACAGACATGTCGTGATGAATTATAAAAGTAATTTTTTAATTTTTTTTATTTTTCCACATATAAAGACAAGGCATCTCTAGCAACCGTAATATGACGTGGTAATTCCAATTCCGGTTTAGTAGAATTATTATTTTTCATTATAAATGTATAATTATTATTTCAACTAAAATTTTCTTTAAAATAATGATTAAAGCAAAATTTATATTTTAATATCAATTCAAATAAACTAACTTAAGAAATAATCTTAAATTTGTTTTCAAGTAAAAATTAATTACTTGTTTATTTTCAGGTAAATATAAAATCGAGAGTTTAAGTACTAAAGTATAAATATTGATAATAATATTTAAAGTATGAGGCATTCAAAATATAACGATACTGCGAATAAACTAATATTAAAATAAAAATTAATAATTTGTCCGTTCTCATGTGAATCGGACCGAATGACTTGCCCGGTTCGGTCCGAGTGGCAGGGGCAAAAGGGAAATTCTTCAAAATTGGTGGCTTCAAGTACTAATTTGGGTGGCTGGAAAAATCCAACCCTTTTCTTAAAACCGAAACCGAACCATATAAGTTTATCGGTTAATCGGGTGGAGCCGAAATACTACCTGATTAACCGATTAGCCGACCCATTTCATCCGAATTCATATTGGGTGGGGCGGTTCGTCGGGTCGGTCCGATTAACTAGCACCCCTAGTGATTATAACACACACATCAACATAAGACCTTCAAAAGTCCAATTGCACGTACTTACCTATTCATATTTTGAAATCAATTTTTTAAACTCTTGACATAATAGTATTCTACTATTTTTCAGAAATAGTAATGAACTTGTCTATAATCCTTTGTGTTTGAGAAAAACCATTAACGCCATTCTTTCTCCTATTGAGCATATTTATTGACAACCACTCTTCTTTAATTAATTTTTTTTAGTTATTACACAAAAAGTTTGGGATTATTGCATACATGTAATTATTAGCACCGGCACCAAATTTAACTTTTTTTCCATTTCAAAAATTAATTTGGTACACTAGATTGTCATACGCCACTAACATTAAAAAAAAAATAATTCCATATAGTTAAAGCCAAATTATGGCAGCTACGCCAAACTTTTGCGGCAACTAAAATTAATGACGCATAGTGGAGCCCAAATTATGGCATTTAAGAAAAATGACATGAAAGTGTAACAAATTTGCAACGAAACAAGAATTTTGTCATTAATTAACAACACTTTATTTCATTGTCGCAACGACATGCCGCAATTTTGCGGCATAAAAAATAAGCGACGGTCAATAGTGGCATATTTACAAAGTGACGTTATTGTACCGCAAATTTGGGCCATTACAACACAACATTTCCTCAAAAGTGTCGCTAAAAGCCATTTTTCTTGTAGTGTCTTTTTGCTCTACTTAGTGTGTCTTTTTTGGGTGTTCTCCTTCTTATCTCGGTTATTGCTGCTTCGATGTGGTGAATAATCGTATTTGTATTGCTCGTTATGTCAAGATTAATGAGCAACTTTTTTCCTTTAAACATCCTATCTCCAGTTCTCCATCTTCGTTGCCGGAGTGCTCAACCACCCCTTGGTTACAAATGACTAGTTCTCCTGGTTTGTATAATTCGAATCCTGCACCCGCTGCTTCTCCTCCTATTTCTCCTATTCCCATGGCCTCTTTACCCAGTTCTCCAAGTCATTCTGCTTCACCAGCATCTTTACCTAGTTCTCCTGCATCCAGCTCCTCATCATCTGAGTCTAGTTCCCTTTGGCCACCTCCTCCCCCTCCTTCCCGTCCTCATTTAATGGCACTCCGTCCTAACCCCAAGCCTAAGAAGATCTTTGATCTCGGATCATGTTGCCTATATTTCACAAGTTTTCCATATTGCTCCTATATATTTCACTCAAGACAAGTCTATTCCTCAGTGTCAAAATGCCATGAAGGATAAAATCTTCGCACTTCTCAAAAAAAAAAAACTGGACCTTAGTTCCCCCTCCCTCCGGCAATGTTGCCGCAAATAGATGGCTTTATAAGATTAAGACCCACATTGAAGGTTTTATCGAGCGCTATAAGGCTCTTTTGGGGGCTCGAGACTTCAATCAGTCTTTTGGGATTGATTACACTGACACTTTTATTCTGGTTGTTAAGCCAGTCACTATTCGCTCGGTTTTGACTGTTGCCTTGGCTCGTGGGTGGTCGATTTCTCAGCTTGATGTCAGTAATGTGTTTTTGGTGGTGTTTTGAGTGAAACTGTTTATATGGTTTAGTCTCAGGGTTTTGTTGATCCTATGCGCCCTCATTATGTGTGTAAGTTACATAAGTCGTTATATGGGCTTAAGTAAGCTCCTCGGGCCTGATATTCCCGGTTGGCTGTTCTTCTGATCACCCCTGGGCTTTGTGGAGTCTCATTGTGATCCTTCCTTCTTTGTGTACCGCCGTGGTTTCAAATCTATTTTTTGCTTGTCTATGTGGATGACATTATTATTACGGGTAGCACTTCTGATTTGGTTCAGAATTTTATTACTTGTACTGCTAAGGAGTTTTTTTCTTCGGGATTTGGGTCCTTGGAGTTACTTTCTTGGTGTCAAGGTTCATCGCACATCGCGGGGTTTACTCCTCTCTCAACGCAACTATGTTACTGATTTACTACGGGTTGCCCATTGCAAGCCTATTTTTAGTCCTATACAGGCAGGTGTTGTGTTGTCCCATTTGGATGGTACTCTGCTGTCTCCTTATGATGCCACTACGTATCGTTAGCTTTGTGGTAGTCTGCATTATACTACTCTCATCCAACCGTATATCTATTTTGTGGTTAATAAACTTTTTGAGTTCATGCAGCAGCCCCACACTTCTCATTTTCAGGCTCTTAAATGGGTCCTTCAATATCTTCATGGAACCCATGATTCCTGTTTGGTTCTACATCCCACTAATTTTGGCACTCTTATTACTTTTAGTGATGCTGACTGCGTTGGTTTTCTAGATGATCATCATTCTACTACTGGTCCTCTCATTTATTTGGGACCTAATCTCATTGCCTGGGTATCTCAGAAGCAGTCCAGTGTGGGTCGCTCGTCTACTGAGGCTGAGTTTTGTGCGATTGCTAATGTCTGTGTTGACCTGCATTTGGTGTGTCATCTGTTGTCTGAGTTGGATCTTTCGTTGCGTCGTTCTCCCTCTATTTGGTGTCACAACAGTGACACAGTTTTTCTTGCTACTAATCCCGTGTTTCAAGCTCGTACCAGACAAGTTAAGATAGATTTTCACTTTGTTCACAATCATGTTTAGTGGAAGTTTGTTTTGGTTCACTCTGTGTCTACTACTGATCAGATTGTTTATATTCTAGGCAAGCCCTTGTCCCAGGATTTATTTCTTCGTTTTCGGGACAAATTTCCGCTTCTTTCTTGTGCGCTGTCAGTTTGTGGGGGCGTATTATAATATATGTATTTCCTCTACTAGCCTTGTGTATAGGGTCTTGTTATTGTCTATATATATTACGTATAATACATCAAAATATAAAGAAATACAACCCTTATTATTCTAAGTTTCGGTAACTATTAGATTTAATGACGTGTATACATATACTACAAAACTATGCACATTTGTAATAAAAAAAACAAAGGAATTGTAGAGATTACATACACTAGATTAGCTTTAGCTTTGAATTTGATTTGAATAGTTCCAATATTCGAAAAAACTATTTGAAAGTAAATTGTAAGAAAACCAAATTTATTTATTTGTGAGAAGTGACTTCAAAGTGTGAAATTAAGTTTGTTTTACTGAATCGATAAAAATGATGTTTTGATGCTTTCTATTTATAAGCCAAAGCACACAAGACTGCATGGCTTTACATCTTTTAAATATTTAGCTTAATTAATAAACCGTTGGCTTTAACGACAATAATAGAAATAATTGAAAACAGTAAGAATGTCTTTTATGGAAAATGCTCTCGACAAACACACCCCTCTGGCCATGGGTACTCCGATTCCCATCTGGATCCCAAGTTCAATTCCCCCGATCGTCGAAGGATGGAATTTCGGTACTGAAAGATGTTGTGTCACTGTGGTGAATTGAAGGTACTCAAAGAGAAGGCTCTCGTTTCTGACGCATGAGGAGCCCACTAGTTCTGGGTGTGTACCGGTTATGCAGGAAAATATGGCAATAGGTTCCTCTCACTGTGCCGTTCCGCTGAGAATGTCTTAGGGATATTTGATAGATAAGGACCGCCCCCATGTTGTGTTATCTGATGATGAAGAGGAAGGAGGAGAAGCTGAAAACGATGTCACTATCGAATTCGGACATCTAGTACCAAATCTGTTAAATGAGGAGACCTTCTATGCCTCTTCTGTTAAATCCTGGCAGAATGCTTTGGTGGATAAACAGATGGGATCAAGGAGGCCACTTAGGATGTTAGCTTTGTATAATCGCTTGTCGCACTTATGGCCATATATGCATAGTTTCACAATGATTGATCATGAGAATGGATTCTTCTTTATTCGTTTCAAGTCCAATGAGGATGTAATTAAAGTGCTGGTTGGTGCCCCGTGAGTGATCAATAGGACATGCCTTCATGTCCAACCATGGTGTGAGGATTTTTATGAGACTGTGGATTGGAATACGCCAATTGTTACTTGGATTCGATTGCCAAGGATGCCAGTGCTTCTTTATCATGAGACGGTGTTCCGGAGGATAGGCGAGATTACGGGTAAAGTTCTAAAGATTGATCATCAGACTGCTGCCTTGACGAGGGGAAAGTTTGCGCGGTTAGACGTTTAACTTGATCTCACGAAGCCGTTGTGTAAACAGTTCACGATCATGGGAAAATCACAAAAGGTGGACTACAAGAATTTGCCAGATATTTGTGTAACGTGTGGTGTATATGGCCAGGCAAGAGCTACTTGTCCCAATAAGCTGCCTGTCCCTAATCCACCAGAGAAGAAGAATGAGAATGGTGGTGATGTGGGCAAATGGCTAAGGGGAGAAGGGAGGAGACAATATCAAGGGAGATGGAGAGTGGGTTTTGGTTCAAAGGAAGGGAAGGTGTTCAATGGTGCAAAATCATCAGGATTTGGTATCACGTCCCAAAGAGATCGCTAATCCTAACAAAAGTGGATCGTGATTCGGGGCACTGAATGAGTTGAATGAGGATTAGATTGGGTCAGGTTTTTCAATGTGGGAGGGATGCTAGTTTGAATGGCATGCATGATCGGGAGTTGGCGAAAAATATAGGGTCAGGCTGAGGGATGAGAGACGTGTGGTGAGTAGGAAAGGGAAGAGAAAGGAAAATATTGGGCAAGGTAGGATTCCAGAGGTTGTGCGGGCTGAGTGTGTTGTGGAGTTAGATGGGCGGGGTACTAATGGAGATGTGGGTATGTGTGATGCTTTGGCCAAATTAATATTTATATATCATAGAAAAGAGGGTGAAATTGGAGAAAAGAGAAATAGAGGGGCATAGTTCAGATTTTTAGAAGGAGATATTAGAATCCTAAAGGTTATGGAACATTAGAGAAGGAAGATGTAAAAGGGGATTAAGGAGAAAGACAAAGTTAATAGATTTTCATTAATCCATCATTAAGTTTAAAAACTGTGTTAATGGAAAATATTTAAGCTATTCAATCAGGTATTAATAACACTAATTACAAAATGGCCCTTCTAATCTATAAAACTCCAATAAAACCCCAAAGGCATGACATACTACCATCGTGAAATTAAGTCTTGTCCACAAGACTTGTGTAGGACTTGATGCAAACCACTGACCTCCAGAAACATCATTTGAGCTAAATGTTTGCCAACAGTTTAGAGTCCAGGTGATATCTCTGATATATAAACACCATTTTGTCCCTGGCTTACAACCATTTTGGAGTTGAATGTGTACAAATCCTCTTAAGGTTAGTACTCCTTGTTTGCTGGTAACCAAAATCAGTATCTCATAACATTGGAGATTACTGAACTCACCACTATCATTCTAGAAATTAATCCCAAAACAAGAATAATTCAAAAAGTCTCCAAGAATGTGGTGATCATTGTTTACTTGCATTAGCTCATTACCTTCAGAAGGTGCTACCATCGAGCTCCAAAGAAACTTCTGCAAGCTGAAGCGCCAGTCCTGTTCCACAATATGAAGCATGTGACAGATGTGTTTCCAAGAGCTTCCAAGTTTAACTGTGAGGCTCGATTCACCAATATATCTAAACCTCCTTGCAGTAGAGTAGCTTAGACTTGGCCAAAAGTGTAATGCTTCCAGAAAACTATCATTCATCAGTCGAGATTTCAGGATCATTACAGTGAGTGTGAGATTTTGTATCTGCATTTCAGCAAAGCATGTAGCTAATCTCCTCACAAGTCTAGTAACTCATTTCAAAGAACTTATCAATGCAGTCCAACTTTTGAGTATCAAATAGTTGTTAAGATTGTTGTCAAGCATCATGTTCCATGGATTCTAATCTTGAATATCATTGCACCATTGCAGACAAGTTTTGGCAACCATAAATGCTGCACAAGTAGAGTAAACTATCTGTCAAGATAGCAGCTTTTATGGTAATGAACAGTAACATTTTTTATGGTAATGAAATCCAATTTTTTTCCATTTTTAGAATTGCTTTGATTTAGGAAATTCAGTCATTGAATTTACACGGTACACTGGACTAACATTGACGCTGCTGTATTTTCCATCATCCATGGCTTGACAATATTCAATGAGCTTCTCTAGAGTTCCATATATGTAACGAAATTTGAGATGTGCAATGAGTTTCTCTAGAGTTTCATCGAGACGACGATCATATAAGCAGTCAATTTAGAGTCTAACTGAGTTGACAATTGACATTACAAGAAAATCGATTAATGCTACTTGCTACGCATGCTTGCGTATTAAAGTTATGTTGCCGTCAGGCAGAGTTGTGGAAGTTCAATTCTTTGACTTAGGTCCAGTACATTCATGTTTATGATTCAGGAATAGAGTTTTTGGAACCTAGAAGACTGTAACTTTGTTTGGAAAATGTTGTACATGTTTAGCAGAAGAAAACTGTGTATGTGAATCAAATTAAGTGCAATTTTCTTGATCTCCAAACTAATTGTAGGTTTATCCTCTGACTGTTAATTGGGTTAAACAAACTTCTTCCACACTTGAATTGAAATTGAACATTACGTTTTCCTTCATAATATATACAGAATTCATACTCAAGGAAAGAGTACATAATATAGAACTGCTGTAATGATACTAATGAGTCAGAAGCTAATTCCTCAATTAGAATAATATGATCTACTTTTAAAATCACCCCCATGAATTAGTAATGCATCAATCTTCTTTCACCTCGTTAGACACGGTTTCTGCATTTTTTCCCTCAGAATCATCGAGTTCTTTCACCTCGTTAGCCATAGTTTCTGCACTTTTTTCCTCAGAATCATTGTGGTCTTTCACCTCGTTAGCCACGGTTTCTGCGCATTTTACCTCAGAATCATTGTTTTCTTTCACCTCGTCGGCCGTCACGGTTTCTGTGCTTTTCACATCAGAATCTGTATTGTTTTGCATCTGCTTCTGTTTCTTTCTCTCTTCTTTCTCAGCTTTCAAACTTTCTTTCTTCTCCGCCTTCAACCTCGCATCTACCTTGGCTTGCTCAAGGGCCTTAATCAGTCTCTCCACACAAAAATCAGCACCCTCTTCAGTAGACTTGGGAATCAAATTTTCAGCAACATCAGCTAGGGTCATCTTGGTTTCTTTAAGCAAATTCCCAACTTTATCAACCGAATCATGAGAGTCGATATTTAAATAAATCTTTGCTACTTCCTTAAATGCTTGGAATCCGCAATAAGATAGCTCAATGTGCATCCAAAGCTATAAAACTAACACCGCACAAAGTCATCCAATGATGATCATATTGAAGCTAGCCCTTTCAATATTGGTCCGGAATTATTGGAGAGCATATGCGAGCTGTTGAGTTGACCAAGAATTGGTCAGCCCAAGAACCCACAAATGTAAAGGGCCAAAAAAAAAATAAAAAGGACCAAATTAGCTGAGAAGACAAATGTAATAGACCAAATGAGTGAGTTTTTAATGTAAATGATCAAATTAAATTTTCTGCCAAATGTGAAGGACCATTTGAGCAGATTACTAAAAAAAAGTTTGTTAGGTATGACAAAAGAAGACAAATTTGACCTGGCTTGGATGTTGATTTCAAGCAGTCACAATAAATAAAGCCTTTATAATGGATTAAGTCGTTTTCTATTAAAATGAAGAAATAGTGAAATATCAAAATTCCTACCGTGTAATTTTCTACATTGATGCTTTCTGTCTGTGAGAGAGAGAGAGAGAGAGAGAGTTTCCATGGCAATCTCAACAATTCAGGCCATGAAGAAACTAAAAATGATGAATATTGGTGAAAAGTGGGGAAGTATAGACTTTACAATGGCAGCACTGATGTTTGTTTGGACAATACACAAAAGCTACTTCCCTTCTCAACTTCGCAACTTGATCAAGGTCCTAAACAGGTATGTTTCGCCATACATTTAGATTAGTTTCCCTGAGTATTATCAAGGACATGGGTTTCATAGAACTCGTAGTGAAGCCTACAAGGAAATTGAAAAGTACCTGACATCATAAATCTTCTTATCAAGCTATGTTCCTTAATGCTCGCAGCAACACCCAAGATTCTGATTCCCTTGTCCTTAGCATAGAGGAAAACGAATAAGTCACCTATGAATTCGAAGGAATTAAGCTTTGGTGGGCTTCCAGGCAAATCATCTCTAAGAAACAGTCTTTTCTATATTTCCAAATGGAGATGAGAAGAGGTACTTTAGGCTGACGTTTCACAAAAAGCATCGCGAAATCGTAACCACAGTCTATTTGAAACATGTTTTGGATGAAGGTAAGGAAATCGGTTTTAGGGAAAGGCGGCGAAAGCTATATACTAACTGCAAGAGTGATAATAATGAAAACAGGATGATCAGGACCATGTGGAGCCATGTAAAATTTGAGCATCCAGCAATATTTGATACTCTGGCCATGGAACCCGACAAGAAGAAGGAGATTATGGATGATTTGATCAATTTCAGTAAGGCGAAAGAGTATTACGCAAAGATTGGGAAAGCTTGGAAGCACGGATACCTTCTTCATGGTCCTACCAGGAACCGGTAAGTCCACAATGATTGCTGCCATGGCCAATTTGTTAAACTATGATGAGTATGATCTTGAGTTGACTCCGGTCAAGGACAATTCAGAGCTGAGGAAACTGTTGATTGAGACAACAGGGAAATCCATCATTGTGATTGAGAATACTGATTGTTCTCATGACCTGACTGGCCAAAGGGAGAAGAGAATCAAGGAAAAAAAGGAAGACAAGGACTCTGTCGAAAAAATTATTAAGACGAAGAGAGTTGAGAACAATAGCAAGAGCAGCCAAGTTACTCTCTCAGCGCTTTTGAACTTCATTGATGGGTTGTGGTCAGCCTGTGGAGGAGAAAGGCTAGTTGTTTTCACAACTAACTATGTGGAACATCTTGATCCCGCCCTGATTCGCCGAGGCAGGATGGATATGCACATTGAGCTATCTCATTGCGGATTTGAAGCATTTAAGTAACTGGCAAAGATTTACTTGAACATTGACTCACATGATTTGTTTGATAGAGTTGGGAATTCGCTTAAGGAAATCAAGATGACCCCTGCTGATGTTGTTGAAAATTTGATGCCTAAGTCTACCGAACAGGGTACTGATTTTTGTGTGGAGAAACTGATTAAGGCCCTTGAGCAAGCCAAGCAACATGCGAGGTTGAAGGCGGAGAAAAAAGAAAGATTGAAATCTGAGAAAGAAGAGAAAAAGAAACAGAAGCAGAAGCAACACAGTACAGATTCTGATGATGGAGAAAAGGTTCAAAACAACGTTACACATTCGTACAATTTCTGCCTAGAAGTTCAATTTTTTAATGATGGAGAAATTCAAACTCAATTTTAATACGTCCTTGAAAGGCGCTGACCACCTCCGAATTATACCTCGACCAAAAGACGTAGTAAGGCTTTGTGTATGGTAGGTAGTTCCACTAAGAGTGATACAAGAGCAACAACCTGATGAAATCAACATTTGCTAATAAAAATCACAAGGGGGAAAACAATTTGAACGTTACAAACTTTTCCTAACTCATATTGAAAACAATGTGAAAGTTTGAAAGAAAAATTTGCGAGGTTGTCAAAATATGAGTTGGGATCTCATGTCCCACATTATTTGTCCTGCATTTGTCCTGCTCTATAGAACTATGTAATTTTAATGAGTAAACTTTTCACATTTGACCAGAGCTTAATTTGTTTAATCCTCTTCAAAGATGGAGGTCAGTCTATCTCATTCTAGCAAAAGTACGAAAAATTCTCAGACCCGAGAAATTTCTAATTTATGTTTGTTTTAGAGGGTTATCAGTTTTTTAATTATTTGGTACTGTTAGCTTTTGTTTCAAGAAAAAAGACTTCACAAATGCTCTTGTTGGTTATACTGAGGTGAGTATAATTTGCATTAGTAGTATTCAGAAATCTTGTACCACTGGCAATTTGTTGACATGTCATATTAGTTGGTCAATCATTCATAAGTGTACTTAGAGGAATGTAAATCGATTTATGCTGATTCTATTATATCTTCATAGAGTTTTGATGCTCTTCACAACCAATTATTCGCCAAAATGATAGAAATTGGGGAACCAAAGGCATGCAGAACTTTTCTCGGAACAATTTCTCATTATCATCTTTTGTCAATCATTTCTATTTTCATGCTTGTTAATCATTGAGTAATCGGGATTATTAATTCCTATTGAATTTTTTGATCACATCCACATGTAATAGCATTATACAGTAGAACTTCTATAAATTAATAGTGTTGAGACCACCAAATTTTATTAATTTAGCGATTTATTAAATAATCGATAAATTAATAAATTATTAATTTAAAGAATTTTTCGTTAAAAACCTTATTATACTACGTAATTTTTCATTGTTTCTTTACAATCCTAAACAAGTCAGGAATGTAACTCCTTTTAATAATAAACTCAAACCGAATAAGATGAATGTCAATCAATTGATGGATTATCCAAGTGAAAATGATGAATCTACAAAAGTCAAATCATTTGAAGATTTTGTAACTAGTGTCGTTGAAGATAATTCAATTGGGGATGAAGGTGGTGATGATTGACTGCCTTTGGCACTAGTCACAAGAAAAGAAGCACTGAAATCAGTAATAACTTTTCAGTATTCTTATCATTTTAAATTTGAGAATACAATACCAGAACTCTCAAGGGCAATGAGACAAGGATGAAATTTCATTAGATTTAAATTTCAAGAAAAAAAAAGTATCAAAAAGCTCATTTTTTACTAAATCTTCTTAGATATTAGTATTTTTTTTGGCATTTAAGGTATTTATTAATTTACAGTATTGTTGGGACCTATAGATATATAGGGATTTTTTGAAAAGTTATTATCTTATCATTTTATCGATTTTTGTCACTTTTTGTACTGGTCCTAAGTTGGGACTGGAGAAAATTATTAATTTCGAGAAGTTATTAATTTATCGCTTATTAGTTTACCGACATTCCACTATATATATGTAAGTTATATCGGTTCCATCAACAATCGATCTATTATATCAGAGGGTAATGCATTAAGAATAAACTTTCCTAGGCAAATTATGAGAACCAATAACAAATGTTGAAGACTCAAGAACGAGAAGAAAAAGGGTAGCGTGCTTTATGCAAGTCAATCAAATCTACTAACAGCTTCGACATAAAAATGTGAAATTGGATCCTAAAGGCAAAACCCCCCATTAAAATTCTTCAGGAATTATGAATGAAAAAATGTATCATTGATGATGTTTTAAAGCGTGAAAGATGAAGTATTTTTTTTCCTTTTGTTTTTTCAAAAAAAAGTTTGTATTGAAGGTTGTAAATTTGATAAATACGTACAGGGATCCCATGTTCTGGGGAATGGTAAAAAAGCATACCATAAACTACAGACTTAGAATATAAAAGTACAATTTGAAGTTCTTACTCTAAGCCTACAGTTGGGGAACCTACAATCATCATCATTTCTTTCGTGATCTTCATCATCAAACACATTCAGTAACTTGTCTTGAAGGGCCTGTAAGTTTTAAGATCCAAAACAACTCCAGCAACGGAACCGCAGCAGCAGCAATCGATACGATCAAGCATGCGACACTCAATATTTGTAGGCAGATCCACTTCGGGCTCCATTTTTGTATCTTCATCTGCACAATATACATTTCAACTGGGAAGTATACCGTCAGAGGCCAAAATTCGATAGCTCCACGAATCCCAACTACATCTTTGAAGAATGGAATAAGCATCGATATCACGGTGGTGAAAATGACAAAGATTGTGCACCAAATCAGCTGGAAGAAGTTGAGTTTCTATGATGACTTGAATCCAAACAATGGGACTTCGATTTCTTTGCAGACGAACTTGCTCTCCGGGAACCATTCTATCGCGGTATTTTCAACGAATGCGAAAAAGGGTTGACTGAAAACTTGGCTAAGTCAACCAGCAAGTATGGATTGTAGAAGCCAAAACCATGATCGGCCAATCAAGAGATTTCCAGGGGAAACGTCTCCAAATGCGGCATATCCAAAACAACCACACAACATGTAGAAAATTGTGGTTACTATGACACTTACTAAAGTGGCCTTTTTCATTGTTTTGTATTCAGAAGTTTGAGCTTTGACTGTATCTTGAATCTCAATTAGGATGAACGAGTAAGAATAGGCAAAAGCAATTGCTCCAACGGCTTGGAAAATTCTCCTAATTTTGTCGGTCTGAGTAACAATTCCAATGCTGATTCTAGATTAACTTCCTTTAATCTTTCCAGATTCCGTAACCCTTCCAACTCCAAGGCCAAGACCGATAATAGAATAAGTAAAGGACATTACCGCAGCAACAATTGAGAGCCACCAAGTTCCCTCGAAATCAGGAATTTGGGAGAAAAAGATTTGAACCACTCCAAATATGATCATGTAAAAGATTGCTGGAGACTTTGCAAGGATTTTTGTGGTGGCTAGAGTGAAAACAGTTAGAGTTTTCGATTGCCACCGTGCTTATGGAAGCTGCAATAGTGTAACCAATTGGGTTCCAACAAGATTCAGGTATTGAATTGCTCCACACACTTTCACTTGAAAGCCACCGAAGTTGGATCGCACAGCATCCATATAGGTATAGTTTCTTTTTCCGTCCACAGGATTTCCTGTTCGGTAACAAGCCGACAGAATAATCGATGTATAGTATGTGCCAAAGGAAAACAACAAGATCACACATATACCAGAAACTCATCCAAGCTGCGCCATGGACCAAGGCAAGGATAAGACTCCTGAACAAATATATTACTGCTATAATAGTTGATTAGATCTTGAAGTTTCATGTTATTCATGGGTATTTGTATAGCATTGTGGATTAGATTGTGCATTTATGTTGTGTATTTTGATTTTTTGGGTTCTTAGGAGTGATTGGAGCCGAGATGGAGAAAATGTTACATAAACACGCATTTTTAGAGCATTTTGACAAGGAAGCACAAGAAGGGATCAATGACATCACTTTCTCGTATGGGCATACAAATCTTAGTCCAAAATTGAGCTTTATAGAAGAAATTCCAGCATTGATGCTGCATTCCCGTTTGGCCAAACCGAAACAGGGACTAAAATAAAAAATTTAAAAAGTTTTAGGGTCAAAATATAATTTTTCCATACTTTGAGAGACCAATTTGCAAATCTCGGAAAAGTTAATTTGCAGCTGCGGATTTCTTAAGGGCTGCTGCGGCTGACCTATTTTCTGATTATAAATAGACTTTGCTTTTCATTTTGAAAGAGTAGTACGTAGTACAATAAAAATAGACGTAGTTTTCCACTTTTAAGAAACTTTCAAAGGCACTTTCTTCATTTTTGGAGTCTTCCAAGTTCATAGACATCAATCGGTAACATTGTTCAATGAATTTTTCTTGTGATTCAGTTTCCATGATGAGTAGCTAAATTCATTCATCTGGTTGAAGGGTATTGAAGCCTTGGTTTGAATAGTTGTGAGATCTAAATGTTGTTTCTCTCTCAATTTCTTGTGAGTATTTGCTTGTTCTATTGCATGATTGATATGATTATTGTGGATTCATGAATAGCTGGTAGCATTCGGTGCCTTTTAATAATCTAAAACCAGTAAGACAACAAGGTTTGTTGTTTAAATAGGGTATAATATAATTTAATTACTTGGTAAGTAATTATTTATATTATAAGAACAAGTAATCCGGTTTAATATAAAACAAGGTTTGTTTTATAGGAATTGGCATTGGGTCTATGTGTTTAATGCAGTAGTTTTCTAAATCTTAGGAGGTTCCAAGATTTGTTTTCGACTAGTATATGATTAATGAAAGTTTCTTAATCATTGAACTAAATGAATGATTGAATTGTTTGGAGGTTCCAACAATGAAAATTAATCTACTCATAAGTTAATGATAATATCATTGTATCTATGATCAACTGTTTAAATCAAGGGTGGATATACAAACCCTTCAGCTAGATATTTTTTCATTATTTGTTTGCATCATTTTAGCTATTGTTTGCAATTTGTTTTGTTCTCAATTTATTTCAACAATTCAAGACCCCCCCATATTTCTTACTTGATTTAAAAGAGAGAAATTCACCATTCCCTGAGGAGACAAACTTACTTTCGTGTACGACATTAGTTTGGAAATAGGTTAAATTGTTTGTTGACTTGATACCCCTCCAAAATGGCACCGTTGCCGGGGAACGGTGATCATTGATTTGTTTCTTTTGAATTTGGTTTATTTTTTGTGTTTGTTCTAGTTTATGCCGCGCTCTATTCATACAGATGAACTTGTCTTTGACGCAGAAATAGAGATGACAGCTAGAGCTATCAAGGCGGCAAAGAAGCAGGAGAGGTTACTTTTAGGCTCTATAGCTGAACCAACTTGAGCTAATCAAGAAGGAGAAGAAGAGGAACCTTCCCTTTCTGAAGAATTTTCATCTGAATTCGAAGAAGAATCTGATGGAGAAGTAATGGCTGAAAATTTAACTTTGAGAGAGTTGGCAACTCCAAATGTTGATCAACAATCGTTGTGCATCGTTTTGCCTGCAACTACGGTACCTTTTGAACTTAAACCTGGTATAATTCATTTATTGCCTAAGTTTCATGGTCTTGCAGGTGAAGATCCTCACAAACACTTGAAGGCATTCCAAGCAGTGTGCAAAAATGTTAAAAAAGAAGGAGTTACTGAGGAGAGGGTTCAATTACAAGCCTTTCCATTTTCATTGGAGGGTGATGCAAATTTTTGGCTC